GGATGCAGCATGTAATGTGGAAAGATAGGAGTTTACATTTATTTGTTGCCGACAGAAAATATATGAATATAAAAGAATAAATTGGATGGACGAATGAATGAATGAATGAATGCGTAGATGAATGAGTGGAGGAATGATTGAACGAAGAAAGCAAAACGAAATACACGCACGAATTGAAATAAAGAAATATTAATAACAAGAGATTCAATCAAGCAACTTCGGCATCTATAAGGTTCCGGTCAAAAATATATTACCACATTTATCAAATGATGAAAATTAAATATTTTTTTTGTAAAATTATAATAATTATGAAAATAGTATTTTAAAACAAGGGCGTCTATAGATGGAATGAGGACAATTTGCTCCACTTTAAATTAGGTAAGGAGAGATTGTATTATATAGCAAAAAACCGGTTGAAACTATTTCAATTTGTGTGGCTGTCAATAAAGCATAGACCATCTCTTACCAATAACGTAAACTAAAAATTGACCCGAGGGTGATTTTTGTCTCTAACATTCAAGAAGAGTTGACGCCTGTGTTTTAAAAAAAACAATTCAGATGTCATGTACTGAGCAGTATTCGGGCTAACAAACAAAAAATATTCTTTTTACCTCATATTGTTTGTTTAAAGTGTCTATTTACATAATTTATAAATTGATCATTTTTCACAATTATTCAAAAACAAATCGTAATTAATAATTCATAACCGCATTATTACCGTAAAGTCTAAAAGGCACAGCAAACAACCACATGAAAAACAAAGTTCGTAGAATTATCAACATACCCGACACACCCATGGAAAACTAACTAATCGTTTCTAAGTCTAGCAGATTGATCACTGATCAGTGAGCATTTCGTTGCACATTACTCTAGAATAAAATTGTATTTTAATTTATGATAGATATAAGATACTACGGATAGATGCATTTCGCGTTATCAAACCATCGACTGGTGATAGATACTTTTTTCGGTTTTGTTTAACAGTTAGTTCCATTTCTACTGGCTGAGCCGCTGGAGCAGTCAAGCCTAAATATTCAACTGTACAGATCAAAAAGTTTAAACTTGTTTAAATAATTAACCGATTATATTAGAGTTAAATAATAAAATTGGAAGGTAAAATGAGCAAACGCTGTAGATAATGTAATTAATTAATATTCAATGGGATTAGATCAACTAAACTTTTAATGAATTGCACTCGATAGAGCCTGTGAGCAGAATGTACACGTACAACAACACACAACAAACATCATTGAATAACAAATAACTTTTCTATGTGTAATCACAACATAATGAATAAATTAACTTAGAATATATAATATATATTATGATATATACATGTGCGTGTGTGTTGTGTGTAGGGTTAGGGTTAGTGTGTATATTATGATAATTAAATCATGATTGAATAAATAAATAAATAAGTGAATGAATATACACGCGCGTATAAGAGCAACAACAAATTCTGAATAAATAACATCAAGAAAAATGTTCGAAAGATAAATTGATCAATGTTAATGATGTAAAGAGGATAGGAGATAATTTTTATTCTAGTATCTGTAAAATATAATGAAGGATGTTTGTGTGTGTGCCTACGTGCGTGCGTGCGTGTGTGTGTGTGTGCGTGTGAAGATATCTCGTGTGAGGATATCTTGTCGTATCTGTAAATATAATATAGGATACACATCCAGTGCATGTGTATTTGAATATATTGTTGTATCTGTAAGATATAAGGTAAGATATATATCCAGTGTGTGTGTGTGAGTAAAACTATAGAAATTTTCAGGGTGAGTACGTAACTACTACATTTTAATTCATGTATCTAATGTATTATATCTAATCAAATCAATCCACACATCCATATTTTATTTATAGATAGATATCAATTTATTTATATTGTGTGTATCTATGTAAATAAGTTATCGTAAGTTGAGATAGGTACACACACACACACACAAACACACACACACACTAACATACACACACTAACACACACACCATACACACACACACACACACAAACATTACATTTTAACATGGTAAGGAACAGTTCTCAATAATAACATTTATAACCCTTGAAAACCTGTGTGTATTTGTGTGTGTGTTTTATGTGTGTATTTATTGTATTATTCATGTATCAATCTATGTACTGTACATAAAATGTATATTTATAGTGCAAGTACCATGTTATGTGTGTGTATATACACGAGTATAATTTATCTATAAATGAATGTAAATATTATAATACAATAGTCGAAAAATATATGAAATATATATATATATATATATATATATATATATATATATATATAGTTAAGGTTGATCTATAAATATTGAACCATGAAACTGAAAAAAAACTTCAAAACTGAACAAACGAATGCATTGTTATAGAATTGTAATAAAGTTAATAAGACGATCAATGAACCTGTGTGTTGTGAACACACACACACACCACACACAAACACACACACACACACCACACACAAACACACACACACGCAAACAAACAAAAAACACACACTGACATACATAAGGAAGTTTAAATTTGAATGCAACATGGTTTCTCATTTAATGAAAGTGGAATGACTTCGACCCGCTTTTGGGGTAGCTTGTGGAATGAATGAGTGAGTGAGTGAGTGAATGAATGAGTGAGTGAGTGAGTGAGTGAGTGAGTGAGTGAGTGAGTGAGTGAGTGAGTGAGTGAGTTAGTGAGTTAGTGAGTGAGTGAGTGAGAGAGTTAGTGAGTGAGTGAGTGAGTGAGTGAGTGAGTGAGTGAGTGAGTGAGTGAGTGAGTGAGTGAGTGAAAAAACAAAGAATGAAAGTGTAAACAAACAAAAAAATTAACAATGGATGAATGGATGGCTTGATTGATTGATTGATGGATATGGATAAATGGATAAATAGATGAATTAATGGTTGGATAGATAGATGAATGATAGGATGGATGGATAAAGGATGGCTTGTAAACTAAACAGTATGTATTCAGGTATGTTTAAAAAAATGCAGAATCAGATAATTTACTTAAAATAAATTAAAATATTTTTAAAATAATCACAAAATCAGGAATAACTTAATGTGAAAGAAAGTAGAGATTTTAATAATCCTTGATAAGCCACGCAATTAAAACAATTTCCCAATCATTATTTTTACTCACTATTATAATTTCTTTCCTCCTCCTCATCATCATCACCAAATCATCATCACCACATCATCATCATCTTCATCATCACCACCACATCATCATCATTATGTTCTTCTTCTTCACCACAGCATCATCATCATCATCAACATCATTACTTTCACATTTGTTGTCATGTGATCAAAGAAAAATATATTGCAACTGAATTTTAAATAATACATGGAAAAAATGGGATTGAAATGTTCCAGCACAAAAATTAACATTGTTTGAATAAAAGGGTATATATATATATATATATATATATATATATATATATATATATATATAATTTTGTATGTTTGTACACTTTTGCATGCTTTTTGTACACTCTTGTATGCAGTCACTTTTGTATGTGTAGTACATTTTGTATATATAGTACACTTAGTGTCTGTAGCACCCTTGGCACATTGTACATAAGCGTACACCTACTACTACTACTACTACACCAACATCTTCTAATCATTTTAATGTTAATTCGTGCAACATTTTATCATCATCACTATCCTCATCATCATCAGGGTAATCATTTGCTAATGATGATCGAACCGTGCACATGCACGTTAAAATGAAATCTCAGCCAGTCGAGATTTTCAAGAATTAATTAAAGTTTTTTGCTAGGCATTCAAATGTTTGAGCGTCAAGTAAACTATGACAACAGTAATAATAACATTAACAATGATAATGATAACAGTGAACACATTAAAAAAGACAGCATGGCATGATGTGTGTTCGTATGTACGTGCATGTGACTGTGTGTGTGCGTTTGTGCGTGTGTGTGTGTGTGCGTGTGTGTTTATGTGAGTGTGAGTGTGTGGGATATACACAAACAGCAGAACAATGTGAGCCTTGATAAATAGCGCACGACAAATGCATTCTAGAATGTAGCATGTTATATGGACTTGTCATACATCAAATGCTACTGAATTCAAATAACTTGACATTGAAATAACAGCAACAATACTACTACTACTAACAATAATAGCAACAACAATTTTTGTTATTATTATCATTATTATTACTGTTGTTATTTTTGTTTGCAGCATTAGAAAAGATAAGACGATTTTAATGGCTTAAAAGGATTGAAAGCAAACATAGATAATAATAAATCAAGTATGGCTGATGAGTGACCGATCGATCCGACAAACGGACGAAAGAAAGAAAGAAAGAATAAATGAAAAAATCAGGTATAATGAGTGAATGAATGAACTGCTTGCTTGCCAACCGCTAAACAAACATCGTCGTCGTCGTCGTCATCACTAACTTACAACCCATCATTTTCCTTCCTTTCTCTCTATCATTATCATCGTCGTCATCATCGTCATCATTATCAATATATTGTAAACAAACCCATCCATCGTCATCATCATTGTCATCTTCATCATCATCTTCATCACCACAAGGCAAACATCCGGGCAGGCAAAATCGCACCATCAATGTAACTTTTGAAAGAAAGAGAGAAAAGGGTGGAAGAGAGAGAGAGAGAGGTGAAGGAATGAAATGAGATGAAAAATTAGACAGCAGTTTTATTATAGAGAGGCAAATTAATTAAACCGTATACAATACTCCAAAAATGACCATGAATGCATATAACATAATATATTATTATAACAATAATAAAAACTGACAACAATCTTAACGTGTAGAATTTATACGATGATTAATTTCTCTACAACAGTATTCATCCAAAAATCAAGTTACTAATTACATTTAACATTATCGTTACTTTCAACCATTTGCAACTCTTACGTAAATTATTTTAAAAGTATAATTATTCATTATTTTTATTATTATTTTCTTATTATTTTTATTATTTTTTTAATTATTATTATTAGCATTTACACTTGGAGGTGGCTGGGGGTTCCTCAGGGACCTCCGAAAGTTGGACAGACTGACCAGGGGGTGCCAGGGAGATAGGGTCAGCGCTCAGAGTCTCGGACATTTTTTCGCAGATGATGTCCACCAGGTGGTCAAACACTTCCTTCACGTTCACGTTGTCCTTCGCCGATGTCTCGTAAAACTCCAAACCTGTTGTTGTATTGTTGTTGTTGTTGTCGTGTTGTTGTTGTATTGTTGTTGTGTTGTTTTTGCTCATGTTGTTGGAGGTTTTGTAAATGGTTAATTTTATGTGTTGTTGTTGTTTACCTTAATTGCTTATATGTAGCAATCATTTTGAGATGAATGAATTTGACTACATAGGAAAAAAGTTGGAATCAATCGACGCGAATGTTACATGACTTTATTGCAAATCAAATCTATTGAAAGATAATGCCAAAATGGCAGCCATCAGAGGCTCGCTCACCACTAAACCAGATTCATTTCTCCAAAATCTAACACAATAATAACATTTTTTCACGTAAAATGTTATTTTAAGAAATTAAAAAGGAGAAACACCAACGGACCCATCTGATTGGCTAGTTGCTGTCCCGCGTCCTTCGAGATGACCCTCTGCTCTTCAAGGTCACTCTTGTTGCCTACCAGGACCACCTGAGCGTTGTCCCATGAGTACGTTCGGATCTGCGTGCTCCTATTGATCGGATGATGATGATGATATGATCATATGTTTTTTGTTTATGTTAATATAGAAATACACATGTGTGTGTGTGTGTTTTTATGTGTGTATGTGATGTTGGTGGTAATTTGAAGATGAGGAAGATGACAATGTTTGGAGATATGATAGTTTCATTTATAACGATGCTGATGATGACGATAACAAAGATAATAAATATTGTTTACGAGACAGTACGTAATAAACGATATATTTACAGCTATTTTATTGTTCGGTGATATTTACGATTCTGACGAGGATGATGGTATCGATGATAATGATGTCTATGATGATGATGACGATGATGATGATGTACGCTTATACATATATACTTTTGTCATGTTATAAGCTAGCCAGTAGTATGAACTGTTCAAACGCCCACAGAAAATAAACTGAACATATGGGTTCATGCAAACATGCACGCGTGTAAGCAAACAAACATTCACGCACAAACAAACATACACACACACATAAAAACACAAACACATGTGTATTTCTATATTAACATATACAAAAAACACATACTTCTTACATTCACCCGTAAACTTGCACAAACATACACACAAACCCATACACACATAAAAACACACACACATGTGTATTTATATATTTACATACACAAAAAACACATACATACAACTTACACACCTTACACACACACACACACACACATATATTATTGAGAGATGGATCAATCCTCTTATTTGCATCGTTATGAAGCAGATGTCAGCGCGTTATGTTAGGCTGCTGCTACTGCTGCTACTAGCATTATTATTATTATTATTATTATTATTAAAATTGTTATTATTATTATTAAAATTGTTATTATTATTAATGTTGTTATTATTATTGAGATTGTTGTTGTTGTCATTGTTATGACGTTTTCAATAATGTCATTCATAATTTATTTGATCATTTTATAATGCGTTGCCATTCGTATTGTTATTTTTGTTATTGTTGTTATGATTGTTGTTATTATTGAGTTATTGTTGTTGTTATTTCTCTGGCTTATAAACAAGCTTTCAAAGTGAAGAATGCGGTAAACAACAACAAAAATTTGACCTTAGTTTGACCTTTGTTAACATCATCATCATGCCGTCATCGTAATCGTCATTCTGTTCATCATCATTATCATCATTGTTATCACTATTTATTCATCATCATCATCATCATCATCATCATCATCATCATCATGTTTTGGATCATCATCATTATCAATATATTTTAAAAATTCCTTTGAGACTCTGTATTTCAATTTGTTGCAAATCTAAATAAGAAATTATA